ATTTGTACATGCATGCCTACATGCATACATGCATACATGCCTGCATGCCTGCATGCCTGCATGCCTGCATGCCTGCATGTATGCATGTATGTATGTATGTATGTATGTATGTATGTATGTATGTGTATATGGACATATGCATGCATGCATAGATGGATGGATGGATGCACACATGTATGTAGGCACAATTGCTAGGTTCCTGGTAGTACCCTTTTGCCTTGGCTCCCCTATTAAAACGAAATAGTATCCGGGGTACCTGTAGTCAATGGAGAACGAGGCCATGTTCACACCATGGCCCCGTGATGACATCAACCTTTCATGGCACGAATTCCTGAATCCAGAGAGCCGACTACTCAATTAAAGCAGGTTCCTCAACATGTAAGAAGCCCCAAATGAGGAAATTTCAGCAGAAGCCATAGGACCCACAAAGCCCCAAGGTTCTAATTCTAGATTAAACACTGCCTGGGAACCCCTTCATTCTGCGAAGGCCCGGCGAGTTCAGCGAGACCGCCGTGCATCACAAGAGCTTGTGAGGTTCGAAGACCGGAACCAAAGATCCTTGATTGTTTGCAAAAAAAGGGGAACAGCCCAATTGCACGGGCTTTTGTGTCACCCTCGGTTGCCAGCGAAGAGAAACAAACGACATCGCGGTGTTATTTCGGAGTCTGACGTAGGGGATCACGGATGTGGATAGCTCACTAAAACAGGAGGTCCCCAAAGCAGTACAGCTTCCTTATAAAAAGGACACTGAAAGGGACCCTTATTTAGAGAACTACCTATGGTATTGCATCATGTTACGTCCGTAAGCTCATGAAGGCTAGACTCCACGGAGCTCTTGCTGCTTTCGGGACCTAGGACCGCTGATTAGGGATCAACATTGCGCCGGATCATAAAAGCAATATTTATCGATGCGTGAATTATTGGTAGCAATGTGGTTTTGGGATGCCCCATTATATTTAATTATACACGATAGTATACATTCCGACTCCAAAACATTTCGCAACCTGCTCAGCATTAAGAGCCCTAAAGCATTGACACCTGCCGCATGTATAACATAAAGGTGTATGTTTAGATGCTTTTGGATCACGTACGTATCGAAATGTCTACAAATTCGATCTCAAACCCGTGTACGACCTATGGGATAACTCCCAGTGAAACATTCTGTGGGCTCCGAGTGTAATCTCTCATGTTCTACCTACTGACGAGCCAGCGACTGCCCACAGTCGCTCCAAGCTGCCAGAAGCCCTTCAGAAACGGCAGGAGCTGAACAGTTCATGGGCTTTAAGGGTCTTGGCAAATGTTTCAAGATTTCGGAGCATACTGCCTTGTCTACGGGGGCAAGTCAAGTCTGTTTTTGTTTTCATAGCAGGTCAAGAGCGATCGGTTTGGCGATTATGAGTCTTTTTCTGGTTCGAGTCCCTGACGACAACTAGCCATTCGCGTAGTCGACACAACCCCACGGCTTGAACCCCATCAGCAACACTCTAGTCACAACTGCGACTAGAATTCGCATCAGAAGTGCTTCAATCAAAGCTTACAGCCACACCTGGGGGATAAGATCGTGATACCGCCATGAAGACCGATAGCCACCGAAACTGTAGAATCATAAGCCCGAAACCCTCAACCCATAAACCCTACAGTGGGCTTTGTCCTAGCTAGGTGGGAGACAAAAAAAGAAACCCTTTAGAAGAACCGAAGACCCTGAGGTACTCGGACGAAGGGATCGAGACGTTGT